TACAACGATTGAAACTTCTTTTGAGAGCCAAACTTTTTAAACTTAAACTTCTTCGAACGCCACTTCTTCAAAATAGACTCACCCAGGCCGTGGTATTTTGTGGAAGAGCAACACTCAAGGGGCCAAAGAGCTGCATGTAGCTCGAGAGCCGCAGTTTGCTGACCGCGGTCCTAAACAATTAAGTGGCAATGCCAGGTATTCTGATTTATGCCTCTTTCAGTTCATTTAGAGTCCTCAAAGAAAAGTTCTGTAATAGTCTCAGACAATTTCCTAATCAAGTTAAATGGTTTCAGGATAATTTTCTAAAATACATAATTGGTATCCTAAGTGTTCCCCTTCAGGGCAATAAAATCCACACAGTACATTAAAATTTATAACTGTTTATTTACCAATACTGAGCACTTGCCAAACAGTGAGTTAAGAGCATGAGAAATTATACCCTCAATTTTAAAAGCCCTGAAAACTATGTTTGCAACCAGCTTTCATGCAAAACCCTGGCAGTCCAAGCCAACTTTTTATACATCAGATTTATGGGGCAGAAATCCCAACAAAAAATGGCAAGCCTACCCCCGCTGGTCACTGCTACCACACTGCCACCTCCAGTCTTATGACTCCAGAAGTTTGAATCAGAGGCAAGAGTCGATAAAAGAAAGTCAGCTAAGAATAGCTCACCTCTCTCCCTCCTCTCAGACCAAACCAACCGGAGTTACTTCATGGATAATTCATTCCGCTCAGAAACATCACTGCTAGAAAAGTTGTTGTCCTAATGCTGCTGAAGACCATTACAATGGAGTCGCTTTAAGTATATGTATCAAGGTAGCTCATCTTTATACAGCTTCACTTTCATATAAAATCCAGAGCTGTAAGGTAACTGCAGTGATGTGGCTCATAAGAGAATTTCAAAGTATGGCACACATCATTCCCTCTTGCTGATTGAGTGAAAGAGGTGCCCGCGCAAAAGTAACTGAGCTACCACCAGGTTACAGACAAGAAAGAAATACAAGTCAAGTTTCTGACAGGGGAAGTCTCGGAGCTCTGTAATTCCAGAAATATGTTTAAGTCTCAGCTGGGAATTCATTTATTTCCAGCAGAATGGCAAATCAGAACAAAATAGGCCCCTGTTAGCTTATTACTGACATTTGGCAGGAGCAGATCATGTAGGTGATCTCACAAGTCCAAAGGAGAGTTACAAACACAGGCAAGACTCTCAATTCCCACTGGCTCGGCACATGTCATGCTTCCTTACATCTTCCTGGTTACCGTGGGCAGCCACACACAGCACTTGAACACTTACTTTTTGTATAAATTCTAATAAGGGCAAAGTACAAAGTCTTTTAAACGCTTCCAAACTGTATTGAGAACACAGGTTGACATAAAAAAAAATCTCACAATTTAAGCAGCCATGCATTACTGATCTTAAACTGAGCACTCCAAAGATAATCCTGCTTACAATTCTTTACCAAAAGTTTCCTAGCATTCAGAATCTCAGTCTCCGCATGTGTGCGAGATGTCCCTGATTCACAAGCTCCACCTGTGCCGCTCTGTTAAGCCAGGCGGCACAGCCGTGCACACCTAGGCTTAAAAGGTCAGCGTTAAAAGCAGCTTTTGTTGTCCCGAAACAACAGGGTCCGAAGCCCTGGCTAGTGGGCACCTGGCTAGTGGGCACACGGCTGGTCACAGCATCAGCCTATTCCATACTGAACAGCTATTAAAAGGAAGCGCTGGCTTTTCAACAGCCAATTAAAGTAAGATAGACTGAAATTTTTATACATGCTGTCTACCCAATTTACATGTTAAGCACTCGATTCTAAAATGCAAATGAGTTGTTCATTTATTTTTAAGAAAACAAAACAAAACAGAGATTTGAGCTTAGGCACCAGTCTGTCTTAACCAATTCTGCCTGGGGGGGGGGGGGATTAACACTATAATATCCTACTATATTTTTTGCTCCTTTGTTCAAATAGATATATTCTGATCAATATATCCTAACAACTAAATCATGAGGGCATTTAAGCTATGAAAGTCTGAAAATATTAAAATTTTTTCATAATTTAAAGCAGTAATGGAAAATGAAATAAAACCACCGCCCTCTCAGTTCCCCAGTGTCAGCGACTTTCCCGGTCTCTCTCCCATGCCCAATATAACAACAAAATCAGTGCTATTTACATAGGAACACATACAAGGTCCCACAAAGATACCAGTGGCTCTTCTCAACCAGATGCAGCTACTCTTCCAAAGTCCCAGCAGTTTTCACACCCACCCTTAACTTAAACTTTACCAAGTGGGAGGGGGGTTGGTTCAGCTTATGCCTCAGAGTGAAGCCAAGTCTTCACGTGTTGTCTTTTACAGAAAGTGCAACACTACCCCCAACGTTCAGTGCAACCCTCTCTTCATTCCGGATGGAGGGAACCTCAGGCTCTGTGCAGTGCTGCGGTAATCTTCCCCAATGGAGGGGTATCTGAATGCAGATAAGCAACATTCCTTCCACATTCCCTTGAGTCTTCGGTAATCAGGAGCTAAGCTTGGTCTGAACCAAATTCAACAATACCCCTTCCTGAAAGGGTCCCCGCCCAGCTCTGCTCCCAGGCAGAGTTAGGCCAGGCTGCCAAGCATCAAATCACTTCCTAGGCCTGCTCCCCGGTTTGAGTCGCTGCAAGCCCATTCATCCATCTCAGAGTGCTGCCATAAGCATTCTTCAGCCCCGAGCTCCCGACATGCCTTGCACAGCAGGTATAAAGGTCACCGCAGCATATGTGGGTGTGCCTGCCTAGATGCCTACACGATGATGGGATGGAATGCAATGACTGCTAAGCACAAAGAACTCCACCCAGAAGTCCAGCAGGCTCCCTTGGCAAGGACGGGTGTGTGGCGTTCACCTCTGTCACCAGTCCCACCGCTTGACCTCCTGTAGGTGCTCAGGGGCATGCGGATCACCAGGGTCCCTCTGCCTCTCAAAGCCCATTCAGATAAGAGGTTCCGTTCAAACAGAATTATAAAATGAATTTCCAGGACATTTCTCTAAGGAAATTCCAAAAAAGAAAGCTCTACTTTTGTTTTTAGCCATTTGAATATAAGCAAAGGAGTTACTCTTTTATTCTGAGTAAAAAGTTGTCTCCAGAACAGTCCTATTTAGTTTGCTGGTAAGATAGTATCATTTAAAGTCCTGAGCATTTTAATTGAATCTACAGCGTTCATAAAATGAAGCTTCCACTGATAAATCTGGTAACATTACACCTCATGTGCTTTCCTAAAGAGGAACCTGCTCGTTATAAAGTAACAAGGAACTAAGTTGTGTTTAGGTTGAGCAAAGCCTTTATGAATAAGAGAGGCAGTTCTTACCAGATGTTTTAAGTTTAATTCCCTACACATGGGGAGAAATTAACACCAGGTTGGAAAGAAAATCAGCAGAGTAAGACAAAGTAACTGGCATTTGCAGTTAGGTCAATGAATTGTATCTGAGAAACACAAGACACTTAATGTTTACATTTAGGGACTCTCAAACGTTAAAATGCCAATCCTTCAGCGAAACCATTGCTTTTTTAAATTTATTCAATATTTAAAGAAAGTTAAGACACACTGGCTAAACACGAAACCAATTAGAATTTGCAGAAATGTGCTCACATTCCTCCCCTCCCCCCAGGTAAACAATTCAGACTATGCCTTTCAACTTCTTTTTAAGGAGATATGACTTCATGCAGAATTTTTCAATTCCTATGAAACTGAGATCAGTTTAGATACTTTCCAGTATACATCCTATTGTTTTAGTAAAATGTTTTTACAGGATTCCATTCTAATATATTAAGTTATTTGACCCCCTACGGAAATTCTCAACTAGAACTAAATCTACCCAGTCACACCAATCTCTTTTCAACTATCCCAATGAAAATTAAGCACATGAACAAGAGAAATCCACAAAAACCCAAACCAACTTGCTAACAAAAACACGATTTGTGAGAGTGCTTTACCTGGAAGAGAACTCAGTCTAGAAATAGGCAATAGTGACGTTTTATGCAGCCATCTCCGCACAGCAACAGGGAAGTCCACCCCTCCCGCCCTCTCGCACCCACTATCACCAATGCCTAACCAGACAAACAGTCCTAGTTTACATTAACTTCCAGGTTAGAGCTCGGCCCGGCCGGGAGTGGGGAGATGGGAGGGGAAAGCGCGCAAACCCTCACCCCACCTTGCGAAACCCAGAAAGGCGCACACAGGCCGGCCCGGCTCCTTTTAGTTCCAGGGCGGCGATCCCAGCCGGCTCTGGAGGAAGGAGCCATTTCTCCAGAACACTCCAAAACTAAAAGCTCAGCCTCCAACGTCTCTAAAGTGACACCCAACACATGCTCTCCCAAAAGTGCAAGCCCCTGCTGCAGGAGCCCAAATCTTCGGTCTTCGTGATCTCTTGGTGGTAACTTATAAGCAAAAAATGTTGTTTAAAAGGGGCGGGGGTGGGAGGCAGAGGCGGGAGACAAAGGCGGATTGCAGGAACCTATGAGCCTCCGGGCTGACCGAGGGGCGCCCCTGGGCAGGAGAAGGCCAGGCCTGGTCCACCCACGTGTCCCGGTCCCGGCCGGCCAGCTCACAGGGCAGGAGGCCATCTCTCCCCGCAGCCCGGCGGCCACAACTCGGGAGGGACAAGGGCACGCCACACCCACGGGTGTCCGCAGCTGCTTCTGCCTCTCCCGCTCCCGCGCTGACAAGGCGGACGGGGGCGGGTGGGAATGGGGGGTAGGAGTCGCCCACAGCTCCCCTAAATCCGACAGACCCCCCAAAACTGCCCCGAGGCTGGTTTCCGGGTGGAGCCACTAGAACTCCGGGTCTGGGGAGTCCCCGGTGCTGAGTTTCCTTCAGAGCCGCTCCTACACCGAGTGTCGGGGACCCCCCCCCCCGCGCTGCCCACGCGCACCTGCCGCCCCCGATGCCCGGGCGCCGCCCGTGGGCCCCGGGAAGTGTCCGCAGCTGAGCAGCCGGGTCCTCCCGAACGAACCAGCAAACCCGCTCACCTTTGCCTCTTGGGGACCGAGTGCTCCACCTCCAGCAGTTTGCCGTGCAGCTCCACTTTACCTGCGGGCAGAGGGGCGGTTGGCGGGGAGCGGCGGCCCCGGGGCTCCCCGACACCCCGCTCGGCCCCGGCCGCGGCTCCAGGCCGAGGGGAGCCCCGCGCCCGCGGGGGGACCGCCGCACCTTCCGGAGGGGCGAGGGGAGGCCTCCCCCCACGACACCCCCGTGGACACCCGGGGAGGGGACTCGGGGAGGGGACGCGGCTCCGGCCCAGGCCCGCGCGCAGCAGGGGCGGCGGGAAGGGCGGGCGCGGGGGGAGCGGGCGGGACGGCGGACACCGCCCGCCGAGGGGCCCGAGCGGCCTCCGTGGGCCCCCGCCCGCCCGGCCGCCCGTCGGGCTCCGGGGCGCGGGCGGTGGGCCGGGGCCGCGGTCACACTGGCCGCCGGCTCCAGCCCGGCCGCCCTCGGCGGGGCCGCCCGCGGGGTCCGGGAGGAAGGAGGAAGCGGCGTGCGGAGCCCGAGCCGCGCGGGGCCCCTCCCCGGCCCCTCGCCCCGCGCCCGGCTTCCTGACAGCGGGGCCCGGAGCCCGGGGCCCGGAGCCGGCGGGGAGCGGGGGCCGGAGTCCGAGCCGGGACCCCGGGCGCCCAGCGCGGGTGGGCCCCGCCGCGGCCCCGCTCCCGGGCCCCGGGGGCAGGCGGCGGGCCGGGCCCCGGGGGGAGGCGGCGGCCGGGCCCCGGGGAGGCGGCGGGGTGGCCGGGCGGCGGGCCGGGCCCCGGGGGAGGCGGCGGGGCCGGGCCCCGGGGGAGGCAGCGGCGGGCCGGGGTAGGCGCGGGCCGGGCCCCGGGGGAGGCGGCGGCCGGGCGGCGGGCCCACCTGAGAGCGCCTCGATGGCCCGCAGCGCCCCGCCGTCGTCGGCGCAGTCCACGAAGGCGTAGCCGCCCTTGAGCAGGAAGGGGCCGGCGGCGGGGACCTGCGCCTCCCGGAACACGCGCTCCAGGTCGGCGGCCGCCGCGGCCTCGCTCAGGTTCCCGATGTACAGCTTGTTCATCGCGGCGCGCGGCTTCCTCGGGGAGCGCGTGAGGAGACCAAGCCGGCGGCCGGCGGCGCGCCTCGTCTCCCGCCGCTCACACGGGGCCGGACGGCGGATCCGGGCGGTGCGGCGCGGAGAGGAGCCTCGGCGGCCCCGCCGCGGCAGAGCTCGGCGCGGAGGAGCCGGCGGGCGGGGCGGCGGGGAGGGGGAGGAGGGGAAACTACTTTTTGTCTCGGCCTCCGGCCGGCCGCCGCCTCCGCCTCCCGCACGGCCCGCGGCGGGGGGGGCGGGGCGGGGCGCGGGGCGGGCCGGAGGGGGGCGGGAGGGCGGGGGCGGCGCGGGCGGCGGAAAGGATCCGCTCCGAGTGTCCGGCGTTTTGAATGAGCCACGTGTTCAAACTACAAATCAACGTCTCACGTGAGGAATCCCGGCGCCGCGAGGAGAGGGGCTCGGTGGGGGAGGGGCGGGGCGGGGGGGACCGGGAGCGGGGGGGCGGGGGGGGGGGGAGGGAGGAGGGGGGAGGAGGAGGGGGGAGGAGAGGGAGGAAGGTGGGGGGGGAGGGGGGAGAGGGAGAGGGGAGGGAGAAGAGGAAGAGGAGGGGAGGAGGAGGAGGAGGGGAGAGGGAGGAGGGTGGGGAGGGGAGAGGGAGGAGGGTGGGGAGGGGAGAGCAGGGGGCGGAGAAAAGAGGAAAAGGCCGAAGGAGCCGCGGGCGGCGGCGCCGGGGCCCCGGTGGAAGGAGGGGTATCTGGCCGGGCGGGTCCGGGGAGGGGAGCGGAGAGGAGGGAGAGGAGAGGAGGCGCGAGGAGGGAGAGGAGGGGAGGGGAGGGGAGAGGAGGGGAGGGGAGGGGAAGGGAGAGGAGGGAGAGGAGGGGAGGGATACGGATTCCTTTTTCTCGTGAGGAGATGGGGTGGGGGCTCAGTTGCCGGAGTTTTAAATGTTGGGTTTCTGAGAACGCGGCCCGGAGCCGCCGTCCCGAACTCGCCTCGTGGCCGGGGGCACGCGGAGGACCGCGGGCGCCGCCGCGGGGGAGGGAGCGGGACGGGGGGGGGCGGCCCGCACCCCGCACCGCCGGCCCCGCGGGTTGCGGGAGGCAGAGGCCCGGGGGCGGGGGTTTGGGGGCGGGCGGCCGGGGCCTCGGGGCCGGAGGAGCGGGGAAAGTCGGTGTAAAAGGACACATTTCCTCCCGTAGCTCCCGAGGAGGAGTGGGGCGGGCCGGCCCTGCCATGGAAATGGTTTTAGTGGGAGAACCACGCTCCGCGTTCACCCGCAGGCGGGGTCGCCCCGAAAATGGCTCTCCGCCGCCTCCGCCCGCGGTGGTCCGCGGCGCCGTCTCCCCTGGGCGCCGGCCCGGCGGGGGCGGGGGGCCGGCCGGGGGCCCTCCTGGGCCGCCCGCCCGCGGCCGAGGAGGAACACGGAAATGGACGCGGCGCCGGGGGCTCCGAGTGCCCTCTCCGCGGCCTCCGCTCACAGGCCTCCTGCACCGGACACTCGGGGACTTTAATAGGGAGAGAGAAAATGCTTACACTAAACAAGACGGAACTTCTGTACAGCAGAAATGTATGCAAACCTCGTTAATGGATGGTACTCTTACTAGCAGGAAAGTGGATTGTGCAATTGAGAAAATACTGTGATTTACACCGAAACACCTTCATTATGGCAAGTTGATAAGTTGGTTTCCCTTGTCAAACCGTGTATGGCATTTAAAAGTGTGTATTTTCCAACTGAAAGGTGAGTGGCAGGCTTTTTTAAAAATATGTGGGAATCATTGCATAGTATGAAGAGTATTTACATTTTTCTTTTAAAAAACAAAGTTACTTGATAATTTTGGTTAAGGAACTGGAAGGTATCAGATAATCCATTTTAAATGCAACTATTCTGACAAGTTTTTTGGTTTTTCCTGCCAAGCAAACCCAATTCTTTAAATGTAAAACTCATTTCCTCAATATTTTCATTCACATTTAACTTAGCAAAATATTTTCACTTTGAGATAGAAAAGACAAACCTGTTTTTATATAATTTAGAACTCTATTATAAGCTCAATCTTAAAAAACAATTTTAGTAGAAATTTTGTATGACTAGGTTTCTTCCCCCCCCAAAAAAAAAGCAGGTTTAACTTTTCAAAGAGGCTTATTTCCCTTTCCATGTTTTTAAAAAAGAGAGCCTGCTTCTAAAAAAGAAAAATATATATGTTCTTCCTTTATGACTTACGTGGTATAAAAATGTAAATATCAAAAATTGTGAATTTTTCATGAACCTGTTGCATGTGATCAAAAGCTGTTTTTTTAAATATGCTTTCCATTCGTTTAGTAATGCTTGCTTTCCTAAATACCTCTTTAAATATTACAAACTAGCCTGTTGGATCATTTAACTTTTAGTAATTTCTCATGATGAACAAATTTTGCATGTTCAGCTTGTCAGTTTCCAAAGTCAATTGAATGTGGTTCTGGATTTCTGACTATTTGCTCATTAAAACTGAGACCAAAGGAAATATCTACTTCCAAAGCATAGGGGGGGGGAATTTGTTTATTTTCCATAAATACTAGCCCATGCTTGTCTGTCACTATCACACAAATCTAACAGCTGGAATTTAAAACATTGTGTGCCGTTTTGAAGAAATATGTTCCTGGGGCTCTTGTGATTTCATCTGTGTATTATTGTAACACACTGGATACTCCCATCTAGGACCTTAAAAACATACACGAGTTACAGAAGCCCAGACCTCACAAAGGGAGTGGCTGAGCCCACTTAACTCCCAATCTTCCAGGCACTGAGGGATGAGTACATATTTTTCAAAAACATGGGTAATTGTTTTTTTAATTGGCATTTCGAGTGCAAACATATCTTTGATGGATTTTCAAGAATGTATATGAAGTCCATCTGACTTCCAGGCTTCTGGTGAGCTCACACACGAAATCAGCCAAGCACATGGGCTGCTCCCAACTCTGCCCGACGCAGGGGCAGCTCCTGGTTACGAATTCCACGGAGGATCCCCATGGGCCATGGTGTGTGCTGGCGGCCGAGCCTGCCCCCGGACGGCCGCCCCTCCTTGCCGCCCTGAGCACCAGACCCAGGTCTGGTGTTGGTAATGCAACGTGAAAGGAGAAGGACGAGGGTTACAAGGTCGGTTACCGTGGCCGTGTCCGCAGGTAATGAGCGACGGCTGAGCAGGCAGAGGCGGGAGGAACGGCGATCCGGGGCCGCCCCGCACGCCCGCCGCCCGGCCCGGCCCGGCCCGCCCCGCGCCGGGGTCCGCTCCGCGTGGCCGGGCCTCCGGGCGGCGCCTTCCCACCCGCTCCCGCCCCCTCCCCGGCTCCCTGGGGCCCGGCTCCCCGGGGGCCGCTCCGTTGGATCCAGACGCGTGATGAGCAGTGACCGGCTCTGCCTCCCCCCAGTTTCCCCTCAGTCACTTTTGTCTGGCACCAAACATGGTGCCCCCGGAGAGAAGAGGGGGCCGTTTCCTTTTCCCCCGGCTCTGCCCGGAGGAGGCGGGACCCCCGAAGCTCCTCACGCGGGGAAGACCCTCCGCCGGCCGCGGAGGGCGGAGACCACTGCGCCGCCCGGCCCCGCTGGGGCTCCGTCCCCTCGCGCGGAGCAGCGCGGACGGTGAGACGTGGGGCCCGAGGGAAGCGCTGCCGGTCCCCGCGCGCACGACCCCGGGGCCCGCGGTCCTCCTCCTCCGCCGGGCCGGGCCGGAACCAGCGCCGGGGCCCCCGGCGCGGCGGGATGCTCGGAGGGAGACGGCGGCAGCCTCGCGGGACCGCGCCGGCCGGGAGGAGGGCGGAGGGCGGGGCGGGCGGCGCAGCGCGCAAACGCGGGGGGCGGGGCCTCGCGCGGCGCGGGCGGACGGGCCGGCCCGAGTCGAGCGGCCCGCGTGGCGAGGCCCCGCCCCTGCCCGGGGAGGGGGCGGGGCCCCTCCTCTCCCCCGATTGGTGGGCGGAGGGCCTATCAGCGCGGGCCGCCGCCGCCGGAGCCGTTTGCTGGGTCCCACTCATTGGCCCCCGAGCCGCCCTGCGTTTCCATCGTTTGTGGCGCGAAAACAGCCCTTCGCTCCCTGTCCTTGGAGAGGCCGGTCCCCCCCGGGCGTCCTCGGGTCCCGCTGCCCTTTGACGGCGCCCCGGGCCCCGACCCCGCGCAGGGGAGGGGGCGGAGGAGGGGGGAGCCGGTCCCGGGTGCGGGGCCCGCCCCGGGCTGGCCGCGTGGTGCCGCGGAGCCCGCCCTCCCCCGCGTCCAGCGCCCGTGCTCAGCAGCCGGAGTCACTCCGTGTCCAACATCTCCGAGTCTACATACTTTTTTTTTTAGTTACAACAACAAAATGCGTTTCTGTCTAAATGCCTGGACTTCCCTGAAACTTCTAGAGAATCGACTCAAGCCGCCCCCTCCCTCTCCGACCCGCTTTGTGGTGCCCAGGGTGGTTCTAAGCAAAACCGAACAGCCTCCAAAAACAGGCAAACGAAAAGCCCCGGTCACGTCCGCTCTGCCCAGACAGAGTTCGTTGTGGAGCTGTCCTAGGACCGGAGGAGCTGAGACCAGCCTGGAAGGACTAGCGATTTCTGTAGCTGAAAGGTTCTAACTTTGCGTTTGGTGGAGACGGTGAGGAAAAAAAAATGTGAGATTGGCTTCTAGATGAAGCACAAATCAAACGAAAAATCATACTTAAAATGGTTAACTGAGAAAACGAACAGTTACCGCAGTGTATTCTAGGCATTGGGGTCTTTGTGCCTTTCTAGTTGTATTTGCTATTGGAATTCTCAAAAAATTAAAGATCAGAACTTCTGACCATGAAAGAAAAGAGGAAAGTGTAAATTTATTTGTTATATCTAATTTTATAGCATAGTTTCCAATTCTTCCATTATTTAAGGAAAAAGAAATGTACCAGTTAAAAATGTGACTTAATTTGTTCACAGATAATTTAATTGTTAATTTTTAAGTCTTGATAAAATACTTGATGTAGTTACAAAACAGTTAAACGGTTATTCCTCAGTAAATATCAAAAATTTGCAGAGAATTGGTTTAAAATAACGAGTTCAATTATTTTTTATATTGTTAACTCTT